ATGGCTTGATGAAATCTATAGAGCTTGCTGGTACAAGCTGACACCGGAGGAGCAGTAGCAGTACAAGGACAAGTCCACAACATGGCATAGAGTTAACGATTGGCAAGTAAGTGCGTCAGTTTGCATGAATGTTTATGTTTGCTGCTGCTACAGGTCGAGCACTTGACATGGAATATCAGGGCAGTGGAGTAGACTCGTTTTACGATGCCCTGAACAAGATCAAGAAGGAGACTGATTTTTCACGTATCGTTGGTCTCTTCCAGTCCAGCGGCTGGGGTAAGTCGAGGGTGGTTCGAGAGTTACATCGGAAACAGGTTTGGGTCATTTACTTGTCGCTGGGTTCTGGCTCCTGTTATCCTCAGCCCTCATATTTTAGAAATGCTTTCCTCGGCCGTGCAAGGCAGGCACTGGGAAATGGAGATTACGCAGGCCATCTCGCATGCATGACCTACTGTCTGGCTTATTGGATCGCATGCATTGAGGAGCTGGGTGGAGGACTAGGGAAAGAGGAGCCGTGGGGGCTGCAAGTGTTTTCAAACATGATGACGGTAGATGGTGGAAAGGGATTTTGGCCGGGGGTGGAGAATCGGATTAAAAAACTTGAATGGAAACTTAAGTTTCTCAAGAAGATACAGGCTAGTACTCAGTTGAACTATGGACGACATGGGAGACTAAAGCCATTGAAGTCTTCCAGAGTTATATTCTTGAGGTCCCTGGCTTTGGGAATTGGTATGGAGATGACAGGCCAACTGTTGAAGCTGCTGTTTGTCTTCAATGAAGCCCGGTTGCTGTTACCTTTCCATAGATGGACAGGAAGAAAACGTGTACATCCCACTTCGAAGATCTACACGAGTGTTAGGTGGAACATGTTTAACTCTGTTCATAGACACTACATCCAGGGTCACCAATTTCTTAGAACCTGAGTGGTGTGTTCCTTCTTTGCAGAGTCTGAATCCGGTCCCTGGGTTTTTTCTTCCATGTCCTTTGATTGCCTTTGTTAAGGGAGATATTGGGGAAAACAGCACACTCTTAAATTTAAATTTAAATTTACTAGCACCAAATTTAAATTACAAGATAGAAAATGGTTGGAAGTGGTGGACAAACACCACTATTAAGCATTCTTTAAGTGGTAGCAAAAAAAGGTGGTAATTGCTTCAATAATTGCTACAGAGGTTTTTGGTGAATGCGTGGAAGGAAGTTATAAGCAACAAAAAAAAAAAAAAGATTTAAGAGACAATCTATAAGATTCAAATATATCACTACACCAAAGGACTGCTCCTCTTCCTCTCCATAGTCTGGGACTTTGGGAAAATATTTCGAAACACCGTAACCCTATGCGAGCCTCTTGGGTACTCTCCCCGCCTTTCGCCTTTGGGTGCTTTAGCCATGGGCTTAGAGTGAGGTTCCATTGAGCCACACCAAGTATCCAAGTAGGTAGTGCCACCCATGCTTGGACTGGGAGCATTGACCATTCAATCTCCCA